ATACATTTCTAGAGTAAATGTCTTTGTATTTCTTAATGAAACCTTAAATAAATTCTTTAAAAAATGCATACCTATTATTAATATAAATAGCATTATTTTGTCACTAGCATTCAATGCTCAATTTAGAATTATATTCTTAAGTAATAATCTTTTTTCTCATTTAAAATTAAAAAAATAGAAAATTCAAGAGTTGTGTCCCTTTGATCTATAAAAGTTTCTAGATTTTATCCTTTTTATGATAATAACATTTTTGAGAGAGAGAAAAAAAATCTGGATTTTTTTTTGTTAAAGAAACGCGACCTTTTATAGTTGAAATTATGTAAATTATGTTGATTCTTCTGAACAAACTCTTGTCTAATTGTTATATATATAATTTTAAAACTTTGATGTTATATATATGTAATATAGTTGTAGATCTATGAGAATCATAGCTTTTGAGTAAAACAATGTGTTTTTTTTTGTATTGTGTAATTTATGTCTGGAGGAGTAACTGTCATTTGAAATCTGGTTGACATTAATAAAACCATGTGGAAAACCATTGTGTGTTATTTTTAATGCTCTTGTTTTTAAAGTGGATTGGTCTACAACAGCACATTGTCCATAAGTACTTAAAATGTTGATAAAAAATGACAAAAGAAATGTATCATCTGGATATTCTTATAAGTTTTTCTTGAAATAATGTTGATAAAGTTCTTAGTGATTTACATGAACATTTATGACCACGAATAATAATATTTTGTTCTAGAATAATTAATTATCTGTTATTATATAAACATAGATAATATCAGATCATGTACCTCACATTTAACAACAACAACTGCCATGTGTATTTCTTTCATGGTTTGTTATTATGCCTGATACTATTTATTACCAACTTTATCATAAATTGTATTACAAACCTCCCATGAGAGACCAATTCACTTTAACAAATACATGAATAGAACCATCACCTTTCAGTAAGCACACTGAATATTTTTCTCACATTAAGATAGTGACGGCGTTTCCGGCTTGAAGCTACAGCAGTGAGAGGAAAGTGGTTTGAAGTCAACAAACTTGTCAGTCAAAGATGCCCCAGTTAACAGTTTAAAATAACATCTCAGCTTGTTTACAAATTAAGGAATCTTTCCAGCTTGTTTACAGACAGATTTATCTCTCCAGCTTGTTTACAGAATACATGTATATTATCTTTAAATATAGCTTGGTTACAGACATATCAACCCTCTAGCTTGTTTACAGACTGGATAATATCTAGCTTATTTACAGATGAGTTATCCATTAAGCAGGATTATATACCACGTTATCTTTCAAGCTCATTTACATATTGAGTTACCACCCCAGCTGTTCAACATACAAAATTATTGCCCTACCAATCCCAAACACCCTTTATAAAATGACTGTGTTATCTCGCACAGGTCACTTTACTGTCCAGCTAGATTACAGTAAGTTGATACATTGGATAACCAATTCACCTTGTTTACAGAATGAAGTGTTTCTCTAGCTTGTTACAAATTGAGTTATCTTTTGAGCTGGCTAACTGCCAAGTTATCTTTCCAGCTGGTTAACTGACTGAATTATCTGTAGCTTGTTACAAATTGAGTTATCTTTCCAGCTTTTGAGCTAGTTAACTGACTGAATTATCTTTCTAGCTTGTTATCTCTAGCTTGCTACAAATTAAGTTATTTTTCCAGCTGGTTAACTGACTGAATTATCTCTCTAGCTTGTTACAAATTGAGATATCTTTCCAGCTTTTGAGCTAGTTAACTGACTGAATCATCTTTCTAGCTTGTAATTTCTAGCTTGTTACAAATTTAGTTATTTTTCCAGCTGATTGACTGACTGAATTATCTCTCTAACATGTTACAAATTGAGTTATCTTTCCAGCTGGTTAACTGACTGAATCATCTTTCTAGCTTGTTATAGATTAAGTTATTTTTCCAGCTGGTTAACTGACTGAATTATCTTTCTAACATGTTACAAATTTAGTTATCTTTCCAGCTGGTTAACTGACTAAATTATCTCTAGCGTGTTACAAATGGAGTTATCTTTTCAGCTGGTTAACTGACTGAATTATCTCTCTAGCTTGTTACAAATGGAGTTATCTTTCCAGCTGGGTTAACTGACTGAAATATCTCTCTAGCTTGTTACAAATTGAGTTATCTTTCCAGCTGGTTAATTGACTGAATTAGTTTGTTATGCCCCCATTTTGAAAAAAAGAGGGTATATTGCTTTGCACTTGTCGGTCCGTCGGTCCGTCGGTCCGTAGACCAAATGGTTTCCGAGTGATAACTAAAGAACCCTTAGGCCTAGGAACTTCAAACTTAGTATGGTGATTGGTCATGACCAGTAGATGACCCCTATTGATTTTGGGGTCAAGGGGTCAAAGGTCAAGGTCACATTGACCTTGAAAGCAAAAACGGTTTCCGATCAATAACTAAAGAACCTTAAGGCCTAGGAACTTCAAACTTGGTATGGTGATTGGTCATGACCAGTAGATGACCCCTATTGATTTTGGGGTCAAGGGGTCAAAGGTCAAGGTCACATTGACCTTGAAAGCAAAAACGGTTTCCGATCAATAACTAAAGAACCTTAAGGCCTAGGAACTTCAAACTTGGTATGGTGATTGGTCATGACCAGTAGATGACCCCTATTGATTTTGGAGTCAAGGGGTCAAAGGTCAAGGTCACATTGACCTTAAAAGCAAAAAACGGTTTCCGATCAATAACTAAAGAACCTTAAGGCCTAGGAACTTCAAACTTGGTATGGTGATTGGTCATGATCAGTAGATGACCCCTATTGATTTTGGGGTCAAGGGGTCAAAGGTCAAGGTCACATTGACCTTGTAGGTAAAAACGGTTTCCGATCAATACCTAAAGAACCTTAAGGCTTAGGAACATTAAACTTGGTATGGTGATTGGTCATGATCAGTAGATGACCCCTATTGATTTTGGGGTCAAGGGGTCAAAGGTCAAGGTCACATTGACCTTGTAGGTAAAAACGGTTTCCGATCAATAACTAAAGAACTTTAAGGCCTAGGAACTTCAAACTTGGTATGGTGATTGGTCATGATCAGTAGATGACCCGTATAGATTTTGGGGTCAAGGGGTCAAAGGTCAAGGTCACATTGACCTTTTAATTATAAACGGTTTCTGATCAATAACAAAAGAACCCTTAGGCCTAGGAACTTCAAACTTGGTATGGTGATTGGTTATGACCAATCAGATGACCCCTATTGATTTTGGCGTTAAGGGGTCAAAGGTCTAGGTCACATTGACCTTGTAGGTAAAAACGGTTTCCGATCAATAATGGAAGAACCCTTAGGCCTAGGGACTTCAAACTTGAGATGGTGATTGGTCATGATCAGTAGATGACCCCTATTGATTTTGGGGTCTAGGGGTCAAAGGTCAAGGTCACATTGACCTTGTAGGTAAAAATGCTTTCGGATCAATAACTTAAGAACCCTTATGCCTAGGAACTTCAAACTTGGTATGGTGATTGGTCATGACCAGCAGATGGCCTATTGATTTTGGGGTCAAGGGGTCAAAGGTCAAGGTCACATTGACCTTGTAGGTAAAAACGGTTTCCGATCAATAAACTAAAATCGCTTAGGCCTAGGAACTTCAAACTTTGTGTGATGATTGGTCATGACCAGCAGATGACCCCTATTGAGTTTTAGGTGAAGGGGTCAAAGGTCAAGGTCACATTGACCTTTTAAGTAAAAACGGTTTCTGATCAATAACTCAAGAACGCTTAGGCCTAGGAACTTCAAACTTGGTATGGTGATTTGTCATGACCAGCAGATTACTCCTATTGATTTTGGGATCAAGGGGTCAAAGGTCAAGGTCACAATGACCTTGTAAGTAAAAACGGTTTCTGATCAATAACTAAAGAACGCTTCGGCCTAGAAACTTCAAACTTGGCATGGTGATTGGTCATGACCAGCAGATGACCCCTATTGATTTTGGGGTCAAAGGTCAAGGTCACATTGACCTTTTAAGTAAAAACGGTTTCTGATCAATAACTCAAGAACGCTTAGGCCTAGGAACTTCAAACTTGGTATGGTGATTTGTCATGACCAGCAGATTACTCCTATTGATTTTGGGATCAAGGGGTCAAAGGTCAAGGTCACAATGACCTTGTAAGTAAAAACGGTTTCTGATCAATAACTAAAGAACGCTTCGGCCTAGAAACTTCAAACTTGGTATGGTGATTGGTCATGACCAGCAGATGACCCCTATTGATTTTGGGGACAAAGGTCAAGGTCACATTGACCTTGTATGTTAAAACGGTTTCCGATCAATAATAAGAGAACCCTTAGGCCTAAGAACTTCAAACTTGGCATGGTGATTGGTCATGACCAGCAGATGACCCCTATTGATTTTGGGGTCAAGGGGTCAAAGGTCAAGGTCACATTCTTGTAGGTAAAAACGGTTTCTGATCAATTTACTAAAAACGCCTAGGCCTAGGAACTTCAAACTTTGTATGATGATTGGTCATGACCAGCAGATGACCCCTATTGAGTTTTGGGTCAAGGGGTCAAAGGTCAAGGTCATGACCAGTAGATACTTTATAACCCTTATTAATTGTTTGATCACTGGGTCAGACGTCATGCATAATAACCTTATCACATGACCAATTGGCTGCTGATAGGGGGCATACATGTTTTACAAACATTTCTTGTTACAAATTGAGTTATCTTTCCAGCTGGTTAATTGACTGAATTATCTCTCTAAATTGTTTTATCTTCAAAGTCTAGGTCCCCATCAAGAGTTAGACTAAATAGAGATTTTCGTATTTTATAAGCATAGTTTGGATTAAGGTTTAGTTTTAACAATCTTAATAGCTTACACGAGCAATAAGATCTGATGAAAGACGACTTTCATAAATAACAAGTCGTTGAGTTTTGTTAGAGATGTATCTATATATACATAAATATGTTAGTTTTATCTGGGACAAAAAGGGTCTTGTGGCAAATCTTAGTGTGGTTCAACCTTTAACGCTAGTTAGCATAAGTTGATGATATTACGCACCGGTTGAGATAAAACACGACCTTTCCGAAAACTGTACACAAAATCTTTGGAAATGGCGAATAAATTGCCAGAAAAAGCATTTAATTTGATTCGGCAAATGCCACGCGTGAAGATAGATTCGGTTAAACCTTTGCCTGGATCTTATACAATTAAGGTGAGGATGACATTTTACTTTTTCAAAAAACGTCTGTATTTCGTCCCACTATATTTTCGTCCTCATTTCTAGATCTAAAGTAACTGATGGCATGTTTCAAATTCTTTTGTCAGTGTTCTATGTATTTTTGTCTGAAAGTGGTCACAGTTGGCTCATATGCCTTGAGATAGGGGACCGTCCAAAAAAATGGGGCCAGACATATAAATTGAAACGAAACCTTTATACTGTAATTGTCAAATTTCATTATTTTAAAAGTGAATCATGAATGAAATAATAATTTCACTGGTTGGTTTGCTTAAAATTTTAAGTAGAATGTGCAGCAGGATTAGTAGAAAAATATATCTGCATGTCTTACCAGATGAGTTAAAAATATCAATGATGCTGGAGACCCCTGGCGTGTACAATTCTGACACGAAAGAATACTGGAAACTAATCCAATTTTTTGGACATATCTAACTATATTAATTATAAACCACTGATGATCATCCCAACATTTTCATTTCATGTGTGTTTTATACTTAACCAAAAATATTGGCTTGGTTTCTGATTTCCCTTCACTGGATCGATGTACCTTTATCGGCTTATTATGGTTTATAAATAATTTAGAGGAATATAAGCACAATGGCGAAGCTGTCTCTGCAAAGCTCTTGCTCACAAGGTGAGTCATGTTGTGTGACAATGTGACACAATCAAGTTGGCAGATGGGGTGTGAAACACTGTTAGTGATATCTTTTGTTTGTTTCAGGTGAATAATTAATACAAAATTCATAAGAGATTATTATACTATTTAATAATGCCAATATTTTGTTATTTTATTAAAGAAAAAACAAAGAAGAAGTAGAGAGCGTGGAGGTACAAGTGGTCGTGGTAATAAAGGTCAAGGTCAAAGAATGACATTGCCAAGACTTGGATTTGAAGGTGGAAATACACCTTTCTATCTAAGAATTCCAAAAGAACCATATTACAAAGGGCATCAGTAAGTAAACTTCAGTTGTATGAAAATGCTTTCATTTCTTGAATAATAATGTGTGATCAGAAAACCTAAAAATAGATAGCGTAATTTATATATTTTCAATGGATTTATGTACAGGATTTATGAATACTGTAAAGTTTATTATATAAGCACTTTTTATTCTCAGATTAACTTTAAGGTATATTTCTTGGGCTCTGTTTCTGTAAGCTGGGGTATCAAGATCAGCCTTTGATAAAGTCATTTGTGTATCATTTGGTGGTCTTTAAAATATATACACATGCAGCTAAGGGGCCTCCGTGGCCGAGTGGTTAAGGTCATTGACTTCAAACTACTTGCCCCTCACCGCTGTAGGTTTGAATCCCAACAGGGACTTTGGATTCTTTCATGTGGGAAAGCTATCCAGCTAGCTTAGGGAACGTCTGTGGTTCTACTCAGGTGCCTGTTAGTGCCTGAAATAATCCATGGAAGGACACCTGAGGTCTTCCTCCACCAGTAAAGCTGAAATGTTGCCATATGACCTATACTGTGTTGCTGTGAAGTAAAACCCAAACAAACATGCAGCTAACAAACAAACAAACAAACATGCAGCTAAATTCTTGGTAGTATGTTGTACAAAATGACTGCCAGAGCTAAAAACTGAGAGAAAAAAAAACAACATTGAAATGATTTTTTCAACCGCTGGGAAGATCTTAATGAAAAGTAATAAAAATCACCCCAAGGCCTTAGACAGTCCCCTACAAAAAAGCCAGAATTGTCTCACTTTGCTGAACAAGATGGCTTAAGTATTCCAATCTTAAGTTTGCGATTCTTGTGATACAAGGATATCAGAATTTTATTAGGTGTTAACGAACCCTTGAGAGTTTGATGGTTTGTCACAGTCCTACTGGTTTTTAAAAAAGATTTTACACTTGATCTTACTGCCTTCAATTTCATATGATTTATGATTTTATAATCTTTTTATTTTAGTGTGAAGAGAGAATACCCACCATTTTCCTTGCTACAGCTACAGAGATTGATTGACACTGGCCGTATAGATGCTAACCAACCTATTGATCTCACTACTATATGTAATACACATGTATATAAATTGAATCCTAATGACAGAGAATTTGGCATTAATCTAACAGATGAGGTTCGTGTTTGTTCATTATTTGAAGTTTTGATTTTCACTTTGGTATTAGACTATTGGGATGTCTGTGGCTGACAGGTTAAGGTTGTTGACTTCAAACCACTTGGTCCTGACACCGCTGTGGTCTTAAATCCTGTTTGGGACTTTGAAATCTTTCATGTGATGAAGCTATTCAGCTAGTCTACCCAAGGTCAGTGGTTCTTCTCAAGTGCCCTTTTGTGCCTGGAAAATGATGTCTGCCTCCACCAAAATAGCTGGAAAAATAACAATGTTGCTGTGACTTAAAATGGCAAAAACAGTTTGGTATTAATTAACAAAACTAACAATGAACATGCCACTCACTTGCAACTTATAAGTAACTTGTCTCTTTAGGTTTGAATCCTTCCAGGGACATTGAAGCTTGATGAATGTCAAGTGCCCATCTATTCCTGGAATATTAAGTCTAATGGCCATTTATCTTTCACTGCTGATAGAGAAATAAAATGGGATTAGTAGTCTGTCACGAGAACTTTGTAAATTTGTGTAATTACTGGTTAGTTATCCAGGACAGCTGGTCAAGTGGAACAATCGTGAGATATGACCAAAAAATATGTTAATTAAAATCAACATTTAAAAAAAAACAACAGGAGAACAAACAAATCTTATGCATTTACTACATTGAGTAAAATGTTGTTAGAGCTTTCTCTGTAAAGTCACTCAAACTTTTGATAACATGCTAAGAAAAAAAAATCAGTAATGTGCAGCCAATTAAAACATTGAAATATTTTAAGTACACATTTTCTTTGATGATTATGCTAATTGAAAGTAAGTTTTCTTTATTGAAATTCTTTATATAGGGAATTGATCAATTTAAAGCGAAGGTAAACATTGAAGTACAGTGGGCAGAAGAGTCTATAATAGCAGCTATAGAAAGGAATGGCGGGATGATAACAACCAGGTTTTACAGTCTGGAATGTGTTGAAGCAGTGAGTAATCCGGTGGCATTTTTTGCGAAGGGAATCCCCATTCCAAGATGTCCATTACCACCAGTGGATGCATTTGAATATTACACTAATCCTGACTTTAGGGGTTATTTAGCGGACCCAGAGAAATTGCAAGAATCACGATTTAAATTAGCACAGAAGTATGGGTATGAGGTACCAAATTATGATAATGATGCAGATAAAGATCTGTTTAAAATGCAGAAAGATCCACGACAGATTTATTTTGGACTCAGTCCAGGGTGGATAGTGTGTATGAAGGACAAATGTATAATTAAACCAAAGGAAAAGGAATATGAAGAATATTACCAGTCTTAATTTATATGTTCATTATGATTTATTTGTTTAAAGTGTTCAATAAAGATGAATTTTTGTTTTGTTTTTATTGAAAAATTATCCTCTTTCTGGTGATTGTTCAAATTTGTAACTAAACATAGTTAAGAGGAAAGAATCATAAACACTATACAGGTCACAAACTGCTGACGTCAACTCCTTCCCTACTAGTCCTAGAACAGACAATATTTCACATGTAGCATTGTCAGATGGATCTGCAAAAAATTATATCAATCTTGTCCAAGGAGTAAAATTTTGACCTGCATATGGCTTCTGATTTAGACTTAGTTTTTAAATATTTATCTTCAGTCTTCTGTTCACTTGTGTGATATGAGGCGTCCGTGGCCGAGTGGTTAAGGTAGTTGACTACAAACCACTTGCCCCTCACCGCTGTTGGTTCGAATCCCGACAGGGACTTTGGATTCTTTCATGTGAGGAAGCTATCCAGCTAGTTTACGGAACGTCGGTGGTTCTACTCAGGTGCCCGTTTGTGCCTGAAATAATGCACGGTCTTCCTCCACCAGTAAAGCTGGAACGTCGCGATATGACCTATACTGTGTCGATGTGACGTAAAACCCAAAACAAACTAACAAAAACTTGTGTGATATCAAATTTTTTATCATGGATGACCTACTTGCTGTGACTTTCTAGCAATGGCTTTAAGGTTAGCAATCTTGGACCAAAGTGGCTCTATTGTTTTATACTTGGTCTTCTTTTCAAGTGAGTTGTGCCTTTTAATGGTTCAATGCAATCTTTTTATGTTCTAACATTAATGCTTTGCAGAATTGTTTTCTATTTCAAACATTATTTTCAGTAAAGTTTCACTGGCATCTTTTATATATGAAACGGAACAAAAGACTTGTGTATAATATTTGATTTATTACATGGATATAATAATTACAACTTGATAACAATAACACATGGTAAACATTTTAAATACTGATTGCTTGAACATGGATATTCCACGACCAGCATTGTATAGATGTATGAAAGTTAGCACTTAACTTGCAGAAATTTATAACATCTACTTTTCAAGATTCTATATTTGGGGATTTAACATTATAGATGTTTTGGATATCAAGATGAAAATTTGGTTAGTCAACAATAAAGGTTAATCAATCTCGTTTCCAGTAAGGTGAAAGTTAAATATGAGCCGCGTCACGACAAAACCAACATAATGCGTTTGCGACCAGCATGGATACGGACCAGCCTGCGCTTCCGCGCAGTCTGATCAGGATCCATGCTGTTCGCTATCAGTTTCTCTACTTGTTATAGAGTTGGTAAGCGACCAGCATGGATCCTGATCAGACTGCGGGGATGCGCAGGCTGGTCTGGATCCATGCTGGTCGCAAACCCACTATGTTGGTTTTGTCGTGACGCGTCTCATATCATTTTTACATGGTTTTTGTAAGCCAGTAACTGTTTGGTTGAATTCTGTTTTTGAATAAGCAGACTTTTTTTGGCATGACTATTCAAGACTTCTTTTTTTGATTTTGGCAATTAAGCAAAATAAAGGATTTTATAATCGTACACTAAAATCTATGTTTAACTAAATTAAACTATAATTTATGTTTAACTATTTTAAAATGATAATCTTTTTATGGCTTGATTTCTGGTGATCATGACTTTTAATGGGTTACTTAAAATATTTTACGTCATCCAGAAATAAAAATACAAGGTTCAATAACCTTGTAGTTGATAAAAATCTAAATAGCACTTTAAAATGTAATGTAATTTTGAATCGAAATAAATCCATATTATATTAAAATTTCTACTGTAGAAAAGTAACTTAACTTAAGATAATATTATATAAAAAATGATCATGTAAAATATTTACTTGGGCATAATAAAAACAACAAAACTTGAAAATTATGGAAAATAATGAATTTTGTCCAAATTGTTCATTGCTTTAAAAACTAAATATTGTGATAGCTTGAAATAATTGGCTACAAAAATCTATATACCAATACATATTCATTATGCCTATATTTACTGAATGTATAATCTTACAAATACAACGCTGCAGAAATACAGGACTACATTGCTGACGTCATGCCATTGATTACAGTTTAAATTGGAGGTTTTTAATATAGATTTGCATAATAAGAGTCGTGCATTTAAGGCATTTGACTCTAATGGTTTCTTCTAGATCTGATCACACTCGATGCTCAAGTGTCTATTGGAGTTTCAGTACCTCGTGCAATCCTGGCCTAGTAAAACCTACCGGGTTAAATATAACTATCCGATCATAGCCTATACAACTTCCCGATCTACTTAACCCATGGTATATAACTCCGTAGGAACATGTTCACTAGTTATTTCAGAGTTGTGTCCCTTCAGTTGTTTTGTATCTGCATAATTAAAATGCACAAGAATAATGATGGCATGCCTGAAATAACTCGTATATCTTAAAGCAAATTGTCTCCATATATATGATATAATATATTAAGAAGCTTACAAAATTTTGTAATATATATACCTCCATCAAGAGTAGCACCGTAAAGAAATCAAATGCTCGTAGTAAAGTGCTAAATAGTGGATTACATGTGAACGAAAATTGATACACGTAAATAATCTTATACAACATATGTATATGATCACATATTTACTGAGTGCTTTATACAGCGTGTGCATAGTTTACAAAAAGTTGGATACATTTATATGTATGACATAATGACATGTATGTAATGTCATTCTGGTTCACCAATATATCTAACCATTATATCACCATAAATATACAGCACCATGCTTCCAGTCGTGTCAATTTTTTATGAAAATTTCAGAAATTTTTAAAATGCTTAAAACACATTGTCATGTAACTATTTAAAAAAACAACACACACATGCCAAACATATAATCCATATAAATTATTCATTAATAAATCATGTCAAAATATATAGAAATAGCCCTTATTCCGTTAGAAACAATGTTGAAAGATATAAAAAATGATCATCTTATTTTGCATAATGTATGTAAAGTGCCACATTGAGTTTTGATATTTACACAAATCGTGTACTATTACTATATTTGGTTGTTTTTTTCTGCTTTTTTTCTTCAAAACTCATCTGGATTTTTGCGTCCTGCCATCTGGGAACATCTTAGAACGGATAAAATAAATGTACTTTACATGTTTCTCATTTTACTACTAAAGAACAATGCCTGGATTGTTCTTATGTTGAATATTCCTGCACTAGCGGTAAGTCTTAAAACTCCAATGTTGATGGAATTCTCAGACGAAAAATACTTGATCTTGTCGATCATGTCTTGATTTTCTTGAAAAGATGAATATGACGAAATTTTTAATATTACTTTTTATCTATATAATAACAAAAATACAGTTCTTTAATGTCTATACTGGTATGTATTCACCGTAGTTTTAATTACTGGCCTTATTTAAATCTATTGTAACAATTAGGAATATTAAAACCAACTACATTATTTGCTATTAACGTATAAAACTACGTACGTTACTTTGCCATACTTGTATTATACACATCTTATTTTTCGATACTGTTATTCAACACACAATTAAACTATCAAAGTAATATTAGTTTTTGCTTGTAAATTATTTTGTTTAAAGGGACTCCACTGAGGTTTTATTTTTGTTGACATGATGGTACTAGAAATATTTTTTTTCAAAGATTTCTGTACCAATCCAAGTGATGAAGGTATGGACAATAACTTGTGTGCAAACTTTAAGTTCATTTTCTCATCCCTTTTTCCAAAATAATCATTTTTATTGTGCAACATGACCGACCCAAAATTCACACAAATCAGACAAAGAATCGCACAAAAATCGATTTTCAATTTAATTTTGAGTATATAAGTCTAACATCCTTTGCAGTGTTTACTATCTATTTTTAGTGCTTCACTTGATATTTGTAACATTTTTTAAATTTTATGTTTTAGGCATTTGGACATCCGATGAGTTCCTTTAAGTTCTAGGGTAAAAAAAATATTCTGTTTTGGTTATGAAAAGGTGAAAAAATATAACATTCATGGTATTTAATTGTAAAATTCTTTTTTTTTACTTAACCACATTGCCCACCACAGTTTTTTGCTTTTAATAATAATCTCCAAAGTAGTATTTTAATTCTATCTAAACACGCTATAAACGTCATTGTTTCTTGTGGTTACGTTTTCGTTTTCTATGAAGATGACGTCTGCCGCGTCGTCTGCCTCTGCCTTGTTGGAATCGTTCTCTTTGGCGCTCTAGTCTGTATCCCAGCAACAACGCCCTTAAAGTCTCATCTCCCTGTACTTTACCCCAGGCACCTAGTACAAATGATTCGATGTCGCACTCGTTTGTTCCTCGTGCAATCCGGAAATAACCATTCTCTCCCCAGTCAGTACCCCAAGAATTGGCACATAACTGCAATAAATAGATACATTTATCTTTGAAGTATCAACTGCACAACGATAAAGCAATACAATACGATAACTGTTCATGGTCATATTGCATACTCCTATCGTCGGTTGTATATTTGGACTTTTGGGGGAAAATAATGTCATCAGTCAACGGTAAGATCCCTCTACGAATGATGATAGATATCTAATGTGTTAGCACGTGACAGTACATATCTGCTAACACGTTGCTAGTGGATAACTATTTTCATACGCGTATTTTTTCATTAATACTTAATGAATTCACTTTAAAGCTAATGATTGTTCAGCAGAAGTTTAACTGATAAACATTTTGGCCTTGTTTTGGTTTTTTATTTATTTTTGATTGCCGTATCTATCATATCGTTGCAATAGTATTACTTTGGATTTAAAACCTATGAATTTTTTCTCAGCTAGTTATGTCAGCATCTATACAGAATGCTTGATTATATACATGTACTCGTTCATGTATTTGTATCGATGTCGTTTATAAAATATAAAATGTTTATTTAACTTTAGTCTACATTTATCTAATGAGAAAGGCCCACCCGCGAGATTGTACTCGTTATTACAATTACTGTTTATTTAACCACAACTCAAATAAAGTGACATTTTTAATGAAAGTTGATATATTTACCCAGTACTTTAAATTTCTACCGCTACTTCTGTCTAAACCCCATCTGAAAAAAGCACGAATAAATAAATTATAGAAAATATGATTCAATATTTTACAGATATGTATAGTTTCATACTCGAATCTGACCCGGTCAGTAGAACCGTGATAGGACGACCCGATATTTGATGCTATGTATACAGACCCTGTGTTAAACTGGTCTGACAGTTGTATTGAAAAAGTTTATTACTGGTACATGCGTAAGTCTAATGCCTAAATTGTAAGGTTTAGTTGTCAAATATAAGACTTATTCAATATAAATATGATCGTTAGTCGTTACTATTTCTCTCTTCTTATATTGGGGATTGAAATATTCTGAATTGAAGCAGAATCATAATTATCATTTGTAGAACTTTAAAATGGGAATTTAACAATAAAAGAAAATATAGTATGAAGTTAATTAACATATCACATGTTAAGTTTTTTGTGCTTCTATACATGTAACGCTTGATATTCTATGCATGTTACATACCATATGATTCTATTCATGTAACTTACCCTATGATTCTAACGGAATGGTAAGAATATCTCTCCTCAGACCGCGGGGTAGTTTCTGGCACCACCCGGGAATGACTGTATACACCCGATTTATACATGAAAAAGTCTTCCTTCACCTTAAATGTTGCTGAAACAAAAATATTACAAAATTCTCATATGATTGACTAGTGTAGTAAATCTGACACAACCAGGGTGTAATTATTCATTTTAGGTGCATGATCTACATGCTTATTGGACTTTGATTATAATTGATACAGATCGATTGTATGGTGACGTTTCAACAATACAGTGTCTGTCTTTGCAATTTGAGTTATACAGACGGTTCATGCGGAAGAAAAATCGTTGCTTGATTAAAACAAACACGCTTGTAGATGATGTAGCTTGGACATTTCTCAAACAATGCCAGAAGAAGCTAGCTTGTAATATCATCATGTATTCGAAACAGTTACGTGAAACAATCGGAACATCTAGGCAATTATCAATTATAACAACCGAAGTTTGACGGAAAAGGCCGAGATGATGCGTCTGTTACGTAATATATATTCTTATTTTCTAACAAAAAGAAAGATACGTTTTAAATTAAAAAAAAGCACATCAAATAAACACATAAACACAAAAGCTATCAAAAAAGTTTACCTTGCACTGGTCCATTCATTTCGATTTCGGCCATTATGTCCCTCTCCTGAAACAACATGCACAATTAACTTAACAGAAACCATTTTCATTTGGGGGGAATTTATTTTGGCTGACCAGTCAGAGTACGCTGTATTCTGATGGTTGATTGACTTTCATTTTCATTTTGATATCGTCAATAGAACCAAAATGGAAACCGGACTAATTAATCTAAGAAATTCATCATTTTATGGGTTAAATATAACGGGATGATTTTTCTTTATCGGTGATACGAACTTTATACTGTATGTGTCATGCTATACTAACAATAGAGTACAGAAAACGCATGGTGTTAATAATTACTAGTCTAGTTATTGTCTGAGAAAAATGTTAGTTTTAAATATTGCAGGAACCCCCTGTTACTTACAGACATGGATATTCTATAGGGTGGGGTTGAATGAAAGACACGCTGTATTCTGAACGGTATGCCACTGGGACACACTCCACCCGTCTGTCCGCGGGCAACGGCACATCGCCCAATCGAACTTGTGGTCCCACTTCTATATGGATAACAGTCCTCAGTTGTTACACTAAAATATAACAATAATGTTACATGTCCGTCAAGTTTATTTTGTTTAGCATATGCAAAATTGAATTCGCTTTATAGAAGCTACTTAAACCAGAAATGTGTCCATATGACATGGATGCCCCTACATTCCCCTTGTCTTGTAACAAAAATCTTGTACATTTAGATAGCATTTCTACGTTTTGCGTTACACCTGATAAAAGATTAGATATGGTAATCTGCAAGCTATCTAAGGTGCGAAAATTCACATGATATTCACATGATGAGAAATATTCTAAGAAAGTATCATGGCTCTAGCTTCTTTTGTAGTTACACGCGACACAATTATAATACTGCCTCTTTATTGATTAATCAAGGACAACAACTCTGGTAGGTGGTTGGGTATATCTGTATCAACAAATTTTAAAAGCAATGTATGCAATAGATTTTACATAATTTGAATATACTGTGCATTTCCCTTTATTGAAATGGAAAAAAAAGACTTGCTTTATTTCTCAGTTGCATTTATAAGTTCTGGAAGTTCTTTGGGAATAAAGCCTTTTTGTTTCGTTTTCGAAAAAAGAGTAAAGTTAACATGCAATTCATCGTGGAAGGCTTTATTTTCATTATACAGTATCTCTATCAGTATAATAACAAACAGTTTTATCTTTTAAGTCGTTTGTATTTTGATAAACAATTTAAACATCTTTCGTTGAATAGTTTTTATCTAGGTCACTGGGTTAGATAAAAATACATTTTGCAATTCATCATGTAGGACTTTTATCCTACTTTTATGTTCCTAGTCCTATATATAACACAATGACAGGGAAAATCATCTTTTGGACAATTGTATGCACTTTTACATACATCTTAATATTTCTCGGTATACCAACGCCTTCCATTTTCTTTTGTTCTTTGTATAACTAAATCCTATTAAGATATTAACATCTCTTTCGGTTGACGTTAAGAAAAAAAATACATGTATAATATTTCCATGATTACCCTCGCTTTCTGATGAACCACCAAGCTCTGTCAAGGTTACCTCCCTTGCATCCATTCTGACCATGATTATTGCAAGACATGAGGTTCTGTGGTGACAGTGAATCTGGCATTATTCCTCGGGACTCGATAGTCAAACGATCTGCTGCCAGTGCTTTAATGAAAATTCCGCAAATTGTAAATTAATAGCAAGACAAGATCTACGGTATGCTTATGATAAGACTTAGTAAGGGTCGTATTTATAAGATATGTCCGGTATCAAATTATAAGAGATGACGTATATGTTTACTTATGAATTAAAATACTTGAGGAAAATTAAATGTTCCATGACGACTGTAAATAATGAATTCAGCAGTTATATAACATAAGATCTGTAATTTACTTCATATGATATTTGGTAAGCAGAGACTAGCCTGTTGTCGAAAATGCCCAAGATGCTGCACAGTCTCCCTGGTCTCTCACACCGTGTACCCACCCAGGCCATCTTGCTCGAGAGTCGAAATTTTCCGGTAATCTACCATCATGCATTACTCTGATAGGATTCATATTCATTACGAGATTATCGGGCTTGTGAGTGCCAAGACGATATCGCCTCCCTTCTGCCAACGTCATCCCCCAGAATTTGGAGTAATTTGAGGCCCTCCATCTTAAAGAAAATGACATAACTACGCTTACAGACCACAATTTATTGAAATTATCTAATACCATTGTTTTATATAATATATTTCAAATGCCGGTGACATGGAAATGATAAATATTGGAATTAAACCTTCCTCCATTTTCATTTATTAGCATTTTAATTATCAACATCAGCATGAATTGATGTTTAGAATTCCATCAATACTATGAAATTAAATACGCAGCGAACTGTTTAAAATGATCTGCATCTGTAGAACAAACTATTTCAATAGGTACGCCAACATCATTAGATAACCACGTTGGAAAGTCCATTAAATATAGATCAATAAGAGAATAAGTAGTTTTAAAAGTAAACAAATATTGCATTTATTTGCCAGAGTTTCTAGAATTTATGTTTCAATATTTTACATGTACATGTACATGAACTCAGAAAATTTATTGAAAATTTATTTCCTACCCAAAGTTTTGATTATTAACACCGTTGATTATATTTTGTCTTATAAGACATACATTCTCCTCACATCTCCACGAGTGACCTGTTACACTTCTCGAATCTGGGGAACACCGGCTGAAAAGTTTAGCAAAATTATTCGATACAAAATAACATAACATTAAATGAATAAACGCTTAAATAAATAGACAGTTTATGCGAAATAGACTGTAGAAAATTGCAAATGTCGGCATTCACATTGGACGAACAAGGGTGCCATAGTCACAAAATACGCCCGTTTACGAAAGCTTTAGATGGAGATTGGGGCATTATGGATAAGTGTTATCTAGCAAGCAAGTTTTTATTCTTGGCACTGTGTTGTTAAATGAACCTTAAAACAAATCAGTAGGGAAGATATGCACAGGATGTGTGACCTTGACCTTGGTCGCAGGGACCTGAATTTTATGCACGGCACTCAGCCTCACTATGATGAACATTTGTGCCAAATTATATAGAAATCCCTCTATGCATGTAGAAGTTTTGCTCAAGACAAGCGTTTTTCTATGAGCTCTAACTGTGACCTTCACCTTTGACCTAGAAACTTGGTTCATGTGCAGGGCACTACGTCTCATGGTGGTGAACAATTCTATAAAGTAACATTAAAATTCCTCCATGCATGTAGAAAATATGCTCCGGACAACATCTGGATATTTAATCATCTCCAGTGACCTTGACCTTGCAAATATTAACCTAAATTAAATGTGTCACACCTTTAATCATGATAGTTACCATTTGTGCTACAAACCATCAATAAATGATGACTAAATGGTCCCTATACACATCTTCAAATTTTTATCTGAACTTTGACCTCTATGTGTAACCTTGACTTTGGTCGCAGGGATCTGAATTTTGCGTGCGACACTCAGCCTCACAATGGTGAACATTTGTGCCATGTTATATTGAAATCCCTCTATGAATGTAGAAGTTTTGCTCCGGCCAAGCGTTTTTCAATGAGCTCTAAGTGTGACCTTGACCTTTGACCTGGATCATGCATGGAGCAATACATATCATGGTGGTGAACATTTCCATAAAGTATTATAAAAATTCTTGCATACATGTAGGAGATATCCTCCAGACAAAATCTGGATATTTCACCATCTTTAGTGACCTTGACCTTGCATATAATGACCTAAAGTACATGTGTCACAGTCGTAGTCATGATAATGACCATTTGTGTTACAATCCTCAATAAATGATGATTAAATCTTCCCTATACACATCTTCATATTTTTATCTAAACTTTGACCTCTATGTGTGACCTTGACCTTGGCTGCAGGGACCTGAATTTTGTGCGCGACACTCCGCCTCACAATGGTGAACATTTGTGCCAAGTTATATTGAAATCCCTCTATGCATGTGGAAGTTTTGCTCCGGACAAGCGTTTTTCAATGAGCTCTAAGTGTGACCTTGACCTTTGACCTAGAGACCTAGTTCATGTGCGTGACATGGCTTATCATAATGGTGAACATTTCTATGAAATTTCATTAAAATCCCTCCATGCGTGTAGGAGATATGCTCCGGACAAAATCTGGATATTTCATCATCTTTAGTGACCTTGACCTTGTATATATTGACCTAAATTATATGTATCACAGCCATAGTCTTGATAATGACCATTTGTGTTACAATCCCTCAATAAATGATGACTAAATGGTCCATATACACACTTCATATTTTTATCTGAACTTTGACCTCTATGTGTGACGTTGACCTTGGCCGCAAGGACCTGAATCTTGCGCGCGACACTCCGCCTCACAATGGTGAACATTTGTGCCAAGTAATATTGAAATCCCTCTATACATGTGGAAGTTTTGCTCCGGACAAGCATTTTTCAATGAGCTCTAAGTGTGACCTTGACCTTTGACCTAGAGACCTGGTTCATGTGCGCGACACTGCTCCTCATAGTGGTGAACATTTCTATGAAGTTTCATTAAAATCCCTCCATACATGTAGGAGATATGCTCCGGACAAAATTGGACGCCGCCCGCCCGCCCGCCCGCCGCCAGGGGCGTTCCCATAATACGTCCCGTTTTTCAAACGGGCGTATAAAAAGGGGAGCAAAGATTCAAGTCAAAAGTGAAGTAAAATTTTGCTTTATATCCCAATGACTAAAATAAGGATTAAAGTAGAATTTTTACCGATCTCGTTTTCTATTATATTCACCTTGCATTTGGAACACTATTATTTTGGTTTGATGTCTTTCCCTTTCCAGTCATTAAGTAATGTGATGAAAGTCTAAATTTTGTTAAAGATACAATTTTTTATATATAATAAATTACTAATCTGACTATTATAACCCCTGCCCTGCTAGAACTGATAAGCATTTGTCAACAGTATAGAGCCAGTCTAGCATAAACATCCTTACAGTTTGACCAGGCTCTATACTGTTTGCTGACCATCTTTAATTATTCATTTACACGGTTTTATAGAAAAGTTAGGACCGATGTTAGTTTAAGATTATTGACTGGCTGTCGATTTGAATCACAAAATTGGAAAGCCAGAATTTCCAACAAGTCTAAAATAGATATTTGTGTCTGTTCATTTTACAGCAATAAGTTGCTAGCATTCATAATTTAAATCTTAGTGTTCAATGCGAAAAGAAATATGTTTAGTAAAACAAAATGTATTATCGAACTTAAGTTATATTGCAACAAAAGTAACCTTACCACTTATTGCAGTTGATTTTAATGGCTGAATTTGGAGGATAAGGTCTATCTCTGTATTCACATGCACCTGAAAATTAAAGGAAAAACTTGATTACTACCAATGTTTTAATGAAAGCAAGCAATTGTCTATGCATTGGTCACCCCCACACTTTATAATCATTTCTAAAACTGATATCTTTTACAAATATACAGTAAGTCCCTGCAGTGTGTTGCACACGGTTCTTTGCATTGGCAGTTAGTTTGGCAATAAAAGAAATTAGAATGCATATTAGGATATGCGGGAGATGATATTCTCCAAGGAAAACAACAACAATAAAAAAACTGTAAAATAGTGAAATATCTATAACACTCCGTTGGTACAATATTTGCACACATTGTTTACTTTATACATATTGGAAACAATCAGGTATGTGAGTTAATTTCAATCGCTACTTTTCAGGGTTATTTAGCATATGTTAAAAGCAAAGGTGTTCTAATGTAAGTCAAATAGTAAATATAAACACAATGTTTAAAATTGTTATACTACTATTAAGCGACATGTGTCACTTTCATTAACTGAGGCATTAGAAAAGGGAACAGAGGTTATAAACATTTTATAGATCTACCAGAGAAAGGCGACAAAAGCCCATATTGAAAATCAAGCATGATATCCTAAGGGCGATTATACATTATACAAGAAAGATTACTGGACCCATCCTAGAACAATGGAAAAACAGTTCCACAAACATTGCAATATAGTCGTGCAGAACGATCTGCAAAGATCAAAAATATAACATCTCTGATTGTATGTACGTGCAAACTTTAAACAGCAGCCAATATTTAGTAATCATCATCATTAATGATTTCAAGGTTTATAATTTTAAGAGAGTCCCATTCTAAGGTGTTTTCTCAGCAGTAACAAAATTAAATGTTTTGATACACCGCCTTGCAAACAAGTGTACTACATAATTTTAGAATTCTAATCAAAATTTGTTTTTGATTAACACAACTACTTCTTTATTTTCAGTCCTCTTATAAAGATTTTGGTACAAAAAATCTAGTTTTGCAATTTTCTTTTCATATTTTGAAATTAAACTGAAAAGTTATTCGGTTGATATGTTTTGTAGCATACACCTTTCATACTCCAGTAAAATAGAGAACACAATTCTTCATGAATATACCACTTACGTCGTTCTGCATTATAAATTATATTCAGATAAGTGAATAATTTTGATTTATTACTTTATAAAGAGATATTTGTATATCTTTTTATCAAAACATATTATGTCTTCATGGCAAAAGGCAAGATAACAAACAAGAGAATCATTTTTCAAATAAAAGCATTTGTCCCTTTCATACAGAGTCATGTTCACATACAAAATAGCAAAATTTGAGTTTGATAAACAAATTTATGTAGGTTAGATACCATGCTGTTACTTAATAAGAACCCGTATGTTGATAATATGAATGATATCATGTATGGCCATTTATCTTAACTCCTCACGACAAGATTAGGCGTTGCCGTCATACCCACCAGCACCGCCTTCCACTGTTTTATCTCAATTCAAGTCTTTTGTCTGAATTGTTAGATTTATTGTACCATTATTTCGATATTAAAAGTGAAAAATAATTAACAATGACGTGTTGCTATTCATTAAGAAGAGCATCTGTTACGAAGTTTATCATATTGGCAGTACATGTATCATGCATATATTAAACTTAATGTATCATTTATTATCAAAGTAGAGGAGGTGACGCGCCACAAACGCTATCTTACGTAAAGTATTTGAGTGGGCACGGCGTTATATAGTCTATAAAAGGTAAAATTTGATACAAGCAACAGGCGGTATAATGATATATATCGTCTGCTTGATGGTGTTATTAAAAAAGAAAATAATTAAAAAAATGTTAAAGAGAACAGCATAGTTTACTACATGATATATCTATTACTGGTATATAAAATATTATATCAGTCAATCTTCAATATAAAAACATGTTTTACTTTACACTAGCGACGTTTAATTTGTCTTGACATGACAGAAAGTATGTCACCTTATTTATAATGAGCATGTGAATTTTGCTTTGAAAATTATATCTTTACACATGATGCTTTACGATATGTATTCAAATATCTTTGGATCTACTTGTTTTGACTTAGATATTATAGCGAATTATTTGAAAATGTCATAGAAATAGTGTTTTTAAAAAGCTAATTTTTGTACAAAAAATACCTAACCTAAAATTAACATGTCAGAACGAAAATGCCATAAGCAAGTAGAAATTTAAATGCTTTTGTCTTATAGGTGTCCTGTTCTACAGTTAACCTATTCATTTAAGGATATAAAACAAAATCTGATAAAACATTTTCATAAAATTTATAACTGGTAAATTTACATGTATGTTGTTTCTTTAATATAATGGTATATTCTTAAAAGAGTTCTAACATAATGAGTTTCTGTTATTTAACGCAAATGAATATTGTACATAAACTGAAACAAAGCATTTTGTCGCTGTTTAAAGAACGGTAATGATTTCGTGCGCGCGCAATTTTCTCTTAAGGAAATACATACAATTCATAGACGCATATTGTATTTTGGAATTGGTCTTTTTCAAAATTCAAACAAATGTTGTACAAAATGTAGAAGCAGCATAGCTTTATACACTTTGAAAAACTACACCTATTCAACTCAGTAAATGAAATTTCGGAACTGACATTATTACACGATAGTTAAGTTAACAACACATATTTACCCGTGCTGTATGGCCTTTTCACATATACTCGGCACAATATAAATCATGACTATTTATAATGTGTTTGATTGAAGTGCTTTACAAATAAAGAAATGTTTACAAAGCTGTCATGAACCAGCAAATATTTATCTTACATGCTGAAATACAATGTCACTTTCAACTTTTAAAATAAATATATATACCTGATTTTACAAAACGTTAATAAATACTTAATTTATTTCAAGCTTCAAGCATTTATCACAGCGAATCTAAAATTAGTAAATATCGTTTTGATGAGACCAAAGCCATCGCGGTCAATTCCTAGGTATCAAAACTAAAAACCGGTGTTAATAGCCGATAAACACCGCTGAGACGATATAATTTCTTAACTATTAAACTATGTTAAGTAAAAAAAAGAAGTAACATATATGTTTGGACAATAAGCGATATGGCTCTGGTATCGCTTACAGAACACTCGCATTGACATGAAATCATTGCAGCAAATGGCAAATTAGATGTTGATCGAAATCGAATATGAAAACCATGACATGTAACATTGTTAATAATGAGATCTAGGACGATTTGTAGATTTTTTGTAACCCTAATATCGATTTCAATAATTGTTAATAAGCGAAACAAATAGAATTAGAAAATTTATATGGAAATATGATGTTGCAAGCAATGGGCTATATTTACTATGATTAGTAATAAATAAACTATTTTGAATGCGGTGGGTTCCAGTATGACTTTCTTTGTTCCTGAATTATTTTCTTATTTTACATCGCTGAAATTGTTTAGGATAAACTTATGCCAACTGCAATAACATGCAGCCAAAGCAATCAAAGGTGAAAATATATCAATTAAACACCAAAGATCTTATGAAAACAAAGAAAACGAAATCTCAAATTCATAAATTACACTGTCTCATCCAAAATGATATTTTGAAAAGCACTAGTGCATTCTGAATAACACACGGGGTGATGACATAACTGATATAATAAAACCATAAAAAAACTACAATGGATAGAATATATCGACACAAATAAACTAAAACAATACTTCAGAACAAATCAAGACAGACTGCCACCTCTTATGTTAAGGGATACTTGGCATGTCATGTAAAAATTGTATGTGTATGTGAATTTCAAACTCACCGAATTAGCAGGACGTATGGGAACGGTTCAAGTTAGATAACAAAGGACGAGGAGGGAAATGAAATAATATGTAAAACAATACAAAGAGATAAAATGAGCCGCGTCACGACAAAACCAACATAGTGGGTTTGCAAACCAGCATGGATCCAGACCAGCCTACGCATCCGCGCAGTCTGATCAGGATCCATGCTGTTCGCTATCAGTTCCCCTACTTGTTATAGGGTTGGTAAGCGAACAGCATGGATCCTGATCAGACTGCGCGGATGCGCAGGCTGGTCTGGATCCATGCTGGTCGCAAACGCATTATGTTGGTTTTGTCGTGACGCGGCTCAAATTTAGAATAAATGTGATTGATTTGTTGTCCACAGTGCCATATAAACATCTCAAGAGAATCTTATGACTTAATTGTACGCCTAGATCAGTTACAAGTTTATTTGTCCATGATTTAAATGTCGTCATACATTTAAAAAATAAACCTTCTAAAGCTCTATGATTTATGTTTTGGAAGATAAACGTTTGACATAGGTCAAGATCAAAGCAAAGTATATCTTTAATTATACTTACATACACATATACATGTATATTAAAATTTATTTAGGATAAAGCCAGTTTATCTATATAATGAATGAAGGTTACACAAAACATGTACAAACCATGTGATCATATATAAACCAAGTGATCATTCTATTTCTGTTCATAAGGGTTAGTTATAGTAGTCCTAAAAAGTATATTTATTTGTGTTTTTTATCGATAGCATTTTTGAATAATGTAAATCGAAGTTCTTGTTTCACCTGGAAGGTTGATGAAAAATCTTTGTATTTACAAGTTATCTCTAACCTTTACTGTATATCGCTGATTTCTTTTCAAAAGAAACAGGAACAACATTAAAAGAAAAAGTTTAATGTAACTATTTTGTTCATGAAATATTTTAAAACATAAGTTATAGAATTGTGAAATTATTTCAATATCTTTGTCATGCAGAAGTAATAATGACGTCATCGACTTAAAAGCAGGTACTTGTATTGCTTATTGCTATCTTAGTCATATAAATTTAGAAATATGTAATGTGAAAAGAGTGAAACAGAATTATTCTGATTATTTAATCTGCTGTTGGCATTTATTCTACTCATATGACGACCAGTGCAGATAACGTTCCGTGCCGTCTAATTATGTATTTCTTAAAAATTGTGTGTTTCAATTTTCA